CATATACATTTAAAATCAACCAAACAATAAACAAACAAACTATCTAGTATGATTGGTAGACAGGCCCACGGATAGGACTTAACAATTTGAATCGGTCGTGGAGGAGGTGCAACAAATGTTTGTTTCATTGCCACATACATTGATTTCCATGCCACATACGAATTTTTCTGCTCTAATATCTTTACAAACCATCTGTCTGAATCATCAGGCTTGAAAGTGAACCAACAATTCCATTATTTGTTCTTCTGTGTATGTTGATAGATTATTCCAAAATCATTTCTGTCCACACGTGCACGTTACCGATTGATTTACCGGACGACTGCAAAGCGTTCTCGTCTGAATTATCACATGGCGATGATGTCATATCACAAACTGATACTCAACTTGCTTAATGTAGTCCATATGCAAATACGTAAGATAGCATTTCAGTTAAAAAGACGATGTGCAACTCTTGGCAACCTTCACTTTCTGCTCGGACAAATTGAATAAGTATGTACTCATCCCACAATATTAAGATGAGTGATTGGTTTCAAAAATTGTAGAATGATGGTGTAACATCATGCAATAGATCTGTCAGTTCTTTGACTGAACAATTGATCCGATTTTCAGTGAATGTGATCTTGTATTCCTCCACCAGTTCATCGGGCCATCAGGCTTAATATTGGTCTCTGTAACATATTCATTAATTAACCATTTGCAAAATGTTTGCAAAAAGTGCCTCCATTGCCAATGTATGATCATGTACATCTCTATTTTATATGCCTTCCCTCTTAATAGTAGTATGATGAAATTGTTTGCACGTATCTGTTGATCGACTTAATTATCTGATTACTAGCGAATGGCTGTGTTAAGTCTGTCATCGTTTAGGCCCATGTTAGGTTCTGGGCGGAACTTGGTTCAGTGATTTGGAACTAATTATGATATAACCGTCGCTATCCGGACTACTATTTCTGACAGTTGGTATTCGCAGTTACTAATATTGTGAACGATTAATCAAAAGATATGACGTGTCTAGTACTTAGTGTGATTGGCTTTATGATTGAAGGTTACGCCCTAGAGTCTTTATACTTCTTTGTAATTGGTTAAGGTTTTGAAAGTGAATAAATTTGTTTGAGTTGGTCTTGGCGAGTACTCCACGACAGAGGCATTCTTGGAGAGGCTAGACGAGTCTTGAGATGTAGTCTAGAGGCAGTCTTGGGTCAACCTTGGGATAGTCTTGGGGACTTTTCCCCAGGGCGCTGTGTCTTATAGAGTGCTCGACTGACCGACTAAAACAGAGTTGAAACGTATTTCGTTGTGTGTGTGTCTTATTTGACTGTAAAGTTTAAGTGACTTTCCCGATCCCGTACCTCAAGGGGACGCGATATAGAGGCCAGACGAGATTTCCTCCTGGCACGTGTGGAGAACCCCGGAGGAGAAGAATCTTCCCCCGTGATACGTGAGTGGAGATCTCGGGCAAATGTTTAACACACATTGACATCCTGTGAAGAAAAGTGAAATGGTGAAGGTGTGTCTTTCTTGCGAACCGAACTAGCAGCTCGATGGCAGAGACAAAACCGTGCTTGACGACTAACGCCGTTAACAGTATGGCACCGATGAACAACGCTAAAAACATGAAGACTCCAGAGCCCCTTAGAAAGGACGAGTATTGAATAGGACTGAATAATCAAGAATTGAACGACATTAAAGACAAGAAGATGAAAAAGAACGACTTGGACTAACACGATGAAGAGAAGAGACGCTATAGAGACTTTGAATTAGAACTTTAGCTATCTGTGTATTGCTTAGAGAACCGCTCGCTGGACACTGTAATGAACACTGTAACTCAAGACGTTGAACTCTTTTCCAGAATCTCAACACTATTGTTCAGTGTGTAATGTATTGCTTGCTTTTTCTATCGTTTTTTGAACGTTTTTTTTTTTTTGTGACATTGAATTGTATGTATGTGAGCGCCCAGATCTTAGTTTTGAACTGATATTTAGTGACGTGCGAGGTCCTTTATAACGATTTAAGCGCGATTCAGTGGACAAGTATTTGCAACAGTGTTTTGAGTTTGTGAAGTTTTATGGTGTTTTAATGAGTTTATGAGTACAGAATATGATGGGAGGAATGATGCCCCCAAGTGTTTTTAAGAGTTTTAAGAGTTGTCGATGTACAGAGATATCGACGTTTTAAAAGTTGTTGTTTACGTATTGTTTTCGGAATACTTCCGACGCTTTTTGAGTTGATTTGAGTTGAGAGCACCTTCGTAACGTTTTTTAATGTCTTTTTGAAATAGAGGCGGTGCGCTTATATGCCTATTGTTTGATAACGCAAGTTTTGTTCATGATTGACAGGATTATATGTAACTTAGTAGTGTCTATCGTTTTAGCCTTTTCCTGTCTTTCTGCCAGAGGATTAGATTAACGACTTGTGAGTTCAGTTGAAGTTTATAAGCGTATATGACAGGAGTTTGATTAATAGCTTATTTAGTTTATTCATTGTTTATTAGTTACCGCTTTGCAGTGCTTTAACCGAGAGACGCATCCCTGGTAATCACGTGATCATGCTGTCGACTGCAGCGATTGGCTGTTCGCTTGGTTACACCGCCACGCCTTAGTTTTTTTGACCTTTTGATATAGAGTTTGTAACCTTAGTAACGAGAGGCAGTGCAGCGAAGGGTTACCTCAGCGAACCGTTTTTAAGAAAAGCGGGCCTATTGGTAGCCGTTCCCTTGTATTTAGACTTTATAATCATTGTATTTAATCAGTGTGTTTTACTCTTTTGATTTATACCTTTTTTTTATTAGTATTGTATTTACCCCGTATGCCGATGAGTAGATGACGGTATCTTTGATTTATGGACGTGCAAGTCTCTTCAACTGGTTGTTTAATACCAGTTAAGTGTCAAATGAAAACAGAAAAACCAACAGTCTCCGGTGTACGAATTTGAGCCCTCGGTATGTACATTATATCCTGTGCTATCAGAGATTCTTT